TCACTACAATATTTCCATTACATCTATTCATTGCAATAGTTAAATTGCATTAAAAACAAAACAAATTCCACTAAATTTCAGATAGATAGGCAGCAAATATATAACTTGACAAAATCCTAAATACTCTGAGTCAATTCAGTGGAGGAGGAGGGCAATCTTTAATGAGTTAAAATAAGAGCATTATATTTTACAGTTGTTGGTAGCCACCAAGGTCATCTAGTCAAACTACATTGATTCATAATTTTGAAAACTAAGGTCCTATATTAACTGTCTTTGCTGACCACAGTGGTATGAAACTAAAAAACAAGAACAGGAGGAATCATGGGAAATGAACAAATATGTGGAAATTAAATAACATGTCCCTGAACAACTGTTGGGTTAAAGAAGAAATTAAAGGAGAAATTTTTAAAATCTTGAGACAAATGAAAATGGAAACACAACATACCAGACTTATGGGATATGGTAAAAGCTGTTCTAAGAGAGAAGTTTATGGCAATAAGCATCTACATCAAAAAAAGAAGAAAGATCTCAAATAAACAACCTAATATTATACTTTAAGGAACTAGAAAAAGAAGTATGACTAAGCCCAAGGTTAGCAGAAGAAAGGAATAACAAAGATCAGAGCAGAAATAAATAAAACAGAGACTAGAAAACCAATAGAAAAGATGAATAAAATTAAGAAATTGGTTTTTAGAAAAGCTGAATAAAACTGACAAGCCCTTAGCTAGATTAAGGAAAAAGAAAAAAACCCCAAATAAATAAAATTTAAAATAAAAAAGGAGACATTACAACTGATGAGAAAGCATCATGAGACTACTATGAGCAATTATGCACTAAGGAATTGAACAACCTAGAAAAAAAAAATAAATTCCTAGAAGCATATAACCTACCAAGCTGAATCATGAAGAAACTGGAAATCTAAACAGACCAATAATGAGTCAGAGTATTAAATCAGGCTTTTTAAATCACCTAAAGAAAAACCCAGAACCAGATGGCTTCATAACTGAACTCTATGAAATATTTTTTTAAAACTAATACCAGTTCTGCTCAAACTGTTCCAGAGAATTGAAGAAGAAAGAATACTTCCAAATTCATTTTATTAGGCCGCATTACTCTGCCACTAAAACTGGACAAAGACACTATGAAAAAAGAAAACTACAGGCCAATATCACTGACAAACAGATGCAGAATTTCACAACAAGATACTAGCAAACCATATTCAACAATACTTTAAAAGGATCACTCACCATGATTAAGTGGGATTTATCTCTGGAATGCAAGTTTGGTTCTACATATACAAACCAATAAATGTGATTCACCATATTAACAGAATGAAGGACAAAAAGTGCATGATTTCTCAGTTGAAATAGAGAAAGCACTTGACAAAATCCAGCTTCCTTTTATGATAAAATTAGGTGTAGAAGGAATGTTCCTCCAAACAACTAAGGTCATGTATTAAAAGCCCACAGCTAACATTGTACTTAATAGTGAAAAATTGAAAGCTTTTCCTCTAAGATCAGAAACAAGACAAGGATGCCCACTCTCACCACGTCTGTTCAACACAGTACTGGAAATCCAAGCCAGAACAATTAGGCAAGAAAAGAAAAGGCATCTGCATAGGAAAGGAAGAAGTGAAATTGTCTTTTTGCTGACATGATATTTTACATAGAAAATTCAGAAGACTTCACCAAAAACCTGTTAGAACTAATGAACTAATTCAGCAAAGTTGCAGAACACAAAATTAACATACAAAAAAACAGTAGTGTTTCCACATATTAATAACAAACTATGTGAAAAATAAATTAAGAAAACAATCCCATTTGTAATAGTGTCAAAAATAGATAAATAAAATGCTTATGAGTAAATTTAACCAAAGAGATGGAAGATCTGTATACTGAAAACTATAAAACATTGATGAAGGTAATTGAAGATTACACAAATAAAAGAAAACATACCCTGTGTTCATGGATTTGAAGGATTAATATTATTAAAATGTTATACTACTAAAGCAGTCTTCAGATTCAATGCAACCTCTATCAAAGTTCTAATGTCATTTTTCACAGAAACAGAAAAAACAATTGTAAAACTCATATGGGTCCACAAGAGACCTCAATAGCCAAACCATTCTTAACCAAAAAGAACAAAGCTAAAGATATCACACAACTGGATTTCAAAACATATTCCAAAGCTACAGTAATCAAAACAGAATGTACTGGCATAAAAACAGACACATTGACCAATGGAATGGTACAGAGTGCCCAGAAATAAACCTACACATCCATAGTCAATTTTGACAGAGGTTCCAAGAAGACAAAATGAGGAAAGGGCAGTCTCTTCAATAAATGGGAAAACTGGATATCCATATGAAAAAGGATGAAAAGTACCTTTATTTCACTCTTATACAAGAATAAAGCCAAAATGGATTAAAGACTTAAATGTAAGACATGACACTGTAAAGCCACTAGAAGAAAACATAGGGGGAAAGTTCCATGACAGAGTCTGGAACAATGACTTTTCAGATATAATCCCAGAAACACAGGCAACAAAAGCAAAATAGACAAATATAATTGTATTGAACTAAAAAGTTTCTGGGCAGCAAAAGAAACAATAGAGTGAAGAGATAATGCACAGATTGGGAGAAAATATTTGCAAATTATACGTCAGATAAGGGGGCTAATATTCAAAATATACAAGGACACAAATTACTCAGTAACAAGAAAACAAATAAACCTATTTAAAAATGGACAAAAAAGCTGAATAGACATTGCTCAAAAGAAGACAAAAGTAGTTAACAGATATAAGAAAAAACTGCTCAACATCACTAATCATTAAAGAAATGCAAATCAAAACCACAATGAAATATCACCTCATACCTACCTGTTCAATTGGATTTAAAAAAAACAAAGTTAAGTGTTGGCAAGGATGTGGAGAAAAAGAAACCCTTGTATATTGGTGGTGATATTACAAATTAATACAGCCATTTTGGAATACAGTATTGAGCTTCCTCAAAAAAACTATAAAAAGAATTGCAATATAATCCAGCAATCCCACTTTGGGGTACAGTATATACCCAAAGGAATTGAAATCAGTATTTTGAAGAGATATCTGCACTCCCACCTTCACTGAAGAATTTTTCACAAGAGCCAAGATATGGAAAAAACCCAAGTGTCTACTGAAGCATAAATTGATATTTTAAATGTCATATATATACACAATAGAATACTCTTAGGACTTTACACACACACACACACACACACACACACAGTGAGAAAGAGAGAGAGAGAGAGGAAATTCTGGCATTTGTGACAACATGGATGAACCTAGAGGACATTAGGCTAAATGAAATAAGCCAGGCACCGAGAGAAAAATGCCATATGATTTCACTTTTATATGAAATCTAAAAAAGTCAAATTCGTTCAAGTAGAGAGTAGAATGGATCAGAGGCTGGCAATGATTGGGGCACAGGAGTAGACAAGGAAAGGGGAGATGATGGTGAAAGGGTACAGAGTTTCAGTTAGACATAAGGAACATAAGGAACATGATCTACTGCATAGCATGGTGACTATAGTTAATAATAATGTATTATATATTTTAAAACAGTTAAAAGAGGATATCAAATGTTCTGTGAGGGATATGTTAACTCACCTAATTTGATTATCCTAACATGTATACATGTATGAAAATACTACATTGGATCCCATAAATATATACAATTATTATTTGCCAATTAAAAAAGAAACTAAGGTCCATATAATTTAAATGAGGAGCATAAAGCTACAAAACTAGTTGGAGGCAGAAATGGCTCTGAACCCTTTTCCCTTTACTCTCAGACCAATGGAACATTGAGCACAGAATATTAATCACTGTCTTTGCTGCTATGAAGCCAGTATTCTTGGTTTCCCAAAGCACAGGGAATAGAAAAATAGAATTCCAGTTCCCCAGAATGTAATTCCAAAGGAAAAATGTCATGGTGTTAGCACAGTTTTACTTGACTTTGGATGCCCCAGTAAACCTGTGAAATCACGTTAAATAATCTAAAGGCATGCAAATTCCACTCCGAATCGTGGGAATGAACTGGAAAAAAAAAAAAAAAAATTCTACAAGTCTGAGCATTCCAAAATAATGGCCTAGCTATTTGAAGGATAAAAAACTCAAAAAAATTATGACCAAATAAGAAGATCACAGAGGTGGTATTCTTAATACAGCAAAAATCAAGTTAGAATTTTATGGTGCCTCTGGGGTACCAGAATATAGTGCTGTGCCAGAAATAGGCTTCTCAACTTTTCGGTTCATAAATGGACTGAAGTGCCATATACATACAGTGCCATATACATACAGATTGTACTACATTTGGAGTGTCCTTGTGAGTTCCTCCCACACAATATAATTTGGAGTGTCCCTGTGAATACATTTGGTGTCCCCCAGACATTTGGTGTCCTCCGGAATACATCTGGAGTGGCCCTCTGAGTTCTTCCCATGCAGAATATCAGAAAACATTATAACTGGTTACTCAAGCTATGCTCCTGGCTATGTAGACCAGAGGAAAGACAATTTATATACATTGATATACAAAAGAAAGAACAGGGGATAGCCATACCTGGATCTGACCCATGGAGACCCCTGAATTCTACCTGACAAGGGCATAAAGTAGCGAATATTAAACTTTTTTCTTTAAAAGGCCATATACTGGAAATTTTAGACTGTGTTAAAAGTACACAATCCTGCCATTGTAATACAAAGCAGCATGAATGAATGTGACTGTGATCAATAAAACTTCATGGACACTGAAATTTGAATTTCAAATACTTTTCATGTATCATGAAATGTTATTCTTCTAATTTCTTCTTAGCCATTAAAAAATATAAAAACAATTCTAAGTTCATAGGTCATTCAAAAACAGCATTATCTCAAATTTATGCTTCAACAATTATAAATCATTTTAAACTCATTTGTATTTTGAGCATGCATAGCCACTTTGATAATAAGGTCTACATACTTACTTTCTAGTGTGATACATAGTAGGGATCAGAAAGTAACTCTGTTGGCTTGGAAGGCTGAGATTTGGTAGATAAGTTCCACCCTGACTTTGGAGTGTGGTGATGTAGTATAATGATTAAACACATGTGGCTGACCTTTTCAGAGGGTCAGTTGGATGTATCCCAGAGATCACCCCAGGAATGCATTTTCTTTTTTTTTTTTTTTTTTTTTTTTTTTTTTTTTTTGAACGAGTTCGCTCTGTCACATGGAGTCATGCGATTAGTCACTCCTCGCTCCGTTCACGCCTCCTGCCTCACCTCCGAGAGCTGGACTCAGGCCCCACCTCCCACTGTTTTTTTAAGAGACTTCACCTTTAAAGATTCCGATCTCCGCCTCTACCGCTCCCTCCAATCTGGAACGACCACCGCCCCTACCTTCTTCTAAAACACCCCTTTGAAGACGTTGCTTTAGTAAATCCTAATAAAACACACTGTGTGGAAGGTAAGAGAAGAAAATAAATAGGGATATAGCAATGCTAGGGCTAACATATCACTTACAAGTTTCTGAATAGGTTATCAGATCATGGGTTAATTATTTGTGAATATTTGTAAATAAAAAGTATTTATAAACATATGTATATTTTTACAAATATATATACACAAATATTTATTTATTTATTTATTTATTTATTTATTTATTTACTTTAGGACAGGGTCTCACTCTGTCACCCAGACTGGAGTGCAGTGGCATGATCACTGCCCACTGAAGCCTCAACCTCCTGGGCTCTGGTGATCCTCCCACCTCAGCCTCCCAGGCAACTGAAACTATAAGTATGTGCCACCATGCCCAGATAATTTTTGTATTTTTGGTAGACATGGGATTTTGCCCTGTTGCCCAGGTTGGTTTAGCACTCCTGGGCTCAAGCAACCTTCCTGCCTTGACATTTCAAAGCACTGGGATTAGTCGTGAGCCACCAAGCCTAGACAAATATACTTTTAATATAAAGAACGATTATATAGAACTTTCAATAGCAATCCCCAAAAATTCTGCTTGAGACTAACTAGAATATAGATTGTTATTTTATTTTATAGTTTTTTCTTACCAGTGACTATCACAAGTAGAAAATTGAAATTAAAATCTCTTGCTAATTTCTGTTTATTCTATGATCTCCTGAAGTGTGAGTTTAAAATGTTTCTTTCAGTTCAGATTTGATTGAACATTCTGTGGAGCACCCACTCACTGCAGACAAAAGGTGAAAACGCTTCCTTCCATTCAGGTTGCTCAGAGGGCAGACACGCCTCATTTTAGTCATCCACTATGAACTGAGTGACAACTTATTGCTATAAATATCTCCAGATCGCCTGTTCCTCTCTGCCCCAACCATAGTTCCTGCCCCTATATCCTCAGCATTTCCCCAGGGCCCTATGAATTCATTTCCGCAGTGTCTCTAACTTTATTTAAATCTCTCATGAATTCCCAAAGCCCATGTTACAAGGAGGAAGATTCAGCTGGGCAGGATCCCAGGAGATCTAGGGCTGGTTCTAAACTGATGACCTTTTAGCACATGTCTCTTACTTCTGCACTCAGACCCAAAATAACACCCTAGGAGGAGAGAACGCATAGAGCAGGCGTTAGATACAAAATAAAGAAACATCACCCACCAGTGACTGTTATCTGAAATTGTATAAGTTTATGCAAGTAGGGGATGATTTTGGCCAATTTATCTCATTTCAAGGAAGATAAACCTTCACTACAGTTCTGATTGAAGATTCCCATTGAAATCATAACCTGAACTAAACAACATAAAGGAATAAATATCTAGTTCCAAGGGATTCAATTTTCTCCATTTTTCTGAGCAAAGAGTCTATTGAAACTTTTATCTCATAGCAGCTGCTACGCTGGTCCCCAGGAGGAACTGAAGGACTCTACTTTTGAAGTGTCATACACAACTTTTCCTTGCTATGAAGAAACATATACTTTCCAGCCACTACAAAAGTAAAAATTTTCCCCCGACTCTCCCTGGAGAATACATGCACAGAAAACTGAATTCATCTGTTCTGGTGCTGCTTGGAGGTATGAAAAATAAAGTAAAAAAGAAAAAGAAAACTGTATTCAAAAGGAAAACAATAACCCATTATTTTCTAAGCAATGGTATATTTGCTTCTTAAAAAGTCAATAGTAAATTCTTAGGAGAAATAGTTGTTACTTTATTTTATTGAAACTACCGGTAAGATCAAGTTTAGCCGGAACGGTGAATTGGATCTTTACCTTCAGCACTGGCCCAGCCTCCTCTCTGTGCCTCTCACATCTGTTTTGGCAACCCCATTCCTCTGAAGCACTTAGAGCTTCATGGTCTTCTTCCAACCCCCAAAGAGCTGCCAAGCCTTTAAAAAGAGAATAGTCATTGATGGATTGTATAAAATTGAAAGTCAAATTCACTTTGACCCTGGTAATATCATAATTCATTTATTCTGGAAAGAAAAAAAATAATAGTAATTTGTTGCTTACTGTTGTGGAGCTGGGAAGTTCAAGCTAAAGCTCCCAGCAGATTTGTGTCTGGTTAGAGCTCATTCCTCATAGATGTTGCTTTCTAGGTGTCCTCACATGGAAACGGGGCAGACTCCCTCAAGCCTCTTTTATAAGGGCATTAGTCCCATTCATGAGGGTGGAGCCCTCATGACCTAATCACCTCCCAAAGTCTCTACCTCTTAATACTCTTGCATTGGAGATTAGGTTTCAACATTTGAATTTTGGTGGGACACAAACATTCATATTGTAGCAAGAGGCACACATAAAATAAAGCTAAAGCACATACAAATCTGTGACTTACATAGAAAAACATATACTAACTTATAAAAACCAAAATTGCTATATATAGTTACATTAATGTCAAACAAAATAGACATTATAACAAATGACCTAGTGCTACAGGTGTTAATATGGTTGATTCTTACAAATATAATATCAAGTTACAGAAAAATACATACAGAAAAAATGTATTTATATAAAGTTAAAGAATATACAAAATTATTACATAATGTTTGGCAATGTTTATATATGTCATGAAGTAATAGGTGAGGAAACACAAACAGCCTTGGAAGTTTTTGCCTAGCCATGCGTATTCATGGTATTATTTTATATATTCTTTGGTACATTTTATATTAATTAATTTCCTCTGTATTATACATTGGTATACCTGGTATATATATTTGTGTGTGTGTGTGTGTGTGTGTGTGTGTGTATACACACACACACACACATATATATGCATATCTTTTAAATAAATAAATGGAAGTAAAAAATGTTAACATTTTGATTTGTTTTAAAAGTAATGACTATGTTTTTAAACAGAGGAGCTTTCTGGCAATGTCATCTGGAAATAAAACTCACTTGCCAGCTGCCTTTAAATTATCCTGCTCATTTTCTCTATCTTTCAGACTTGTAATCAGAGACAGATCTGGACATGTGAGTTTTACTTTTCCACTGTACACTTATAATTACTACCAAAATAGTTATACTCTCTGATGGGCTCCAAACGCATTGCCTAAAGCTTATTGCTTAGTGGGTTTACTTTCTAAATTGTTTGCTCCAACTGATCCTCTAAGAGTCAAAGACACAGGGATCTAAAAGATGAAATAACCAAAAATTATCTGCTTGAGTATTTCCTGAGCCAAGTCAATCAGTGCCTCTCTCTCTCTTTCTGCCTCTCTCCTTTTTCTTCCTCATGCTCTCTCTCTCTCTCTCTCTCCTTAACATAGAAAAGAGAATGAAGAAACAGGAACTATGTGGCCCTGGTCCCCCTGGCACCCTTTCCACAATGCAGTCCTTAGCTCATCTGTCTTGTGTTTTACCATGAGGACTCTGGGAGCAAACTGATCACTGCATGCTTCCTGTATGCTCCAGTCAGGATGTAGCCAAAAATGGAATCACAATTCACAGCTAATGTACAGGTGCTATTTTTCCTATCAGATGTCCTATAAATTGTAGTTTATTTTCCCAGTAGATTTATACAAGTTGAACTTTATTATTATTGTTTTTAACTGGTTTGAGTACATATGTTTTAATAAGTCATTTGGTCATAAGCAGTCCATACCTTGTGAACCAAACCACATGGTGAAACAGGTTATGCAAACCTAATTAGTCCTACTGGGAGTTTGAGGATGCATAATTGACTCCCTAGATGCCTCAGTGTAGCATCGTTATGTGGCATTTTTCTATGATGTGGTTGGAAAGGTAACATATATTTTACTCTTTTCCATGATTAGGAAAATGGCAACAGGGGTCAATTTTAAGTCATCTCAATTCATTACATATTTCCCAATTAATTTGAAGAAAGCAGTTCATGATACACTCAAACATTTACCTGTTTTTGCAACTGTGTTTGTTAAATTGTGTAGCTATGTTTGCAATATTTTTTAAAAATTAAAAGAACTTGGCCCGGCGCGGTGGCTCACGCCTATAATCCCAGCACTTTGGGAGGCCGAGGTGGGTGGATCACGAGGTCAGGAGATCGAGACCATCCTGCCTAACACAGTGAAACCTCGTCTCTACCGAAAATACAAAAAATTAGCTGGGCGTGGTGGCGGGCGCCTGTAGTCCCAGCTACTCGGGAGGCTGAGGCAGGAGAATGGCGTGAACCCGGAAGGCAGAGCTTGCAGTGAGCCGAGATCGCACTACTGCACTCCAGCCTGGGTGACAGAACAAGACTTCGTCTCAAAAAAAAAAAAAAAAAAAAAAAAATTAAAAGAACTTGAACATCCAAAAATGAGGGCTTTATTAAGTAAAGTAAGGCATATTCATGTAATAGAACACCCTTTTAAAATAATGTTTTAAAATAATATTTACTGGCAAAGAAGCAGGTTCATAATACATTGCTGAACAAAAGAAGCATGATGTCTTTATGTTTACAAATAACAATAATATGAAATCTGAAGAATGTACAGTAAGAGGAAGATAACAGTGATTACTTCCAGGCTGTTGTTGGTATAAGTGACTTTTTAATTCTATTTTACTTACCTATATCTTTCAATTATTTCTGAACAATCATATATTCAAATATTACCTGTGTAAAAAAAAAAATACAAAGAAATCTACTTGATTGAAAAACACTTACATTAAAATATGGAATGGGACATTCAAGCATAAAGAAAGTTCTGATTTTTAAAGATGGAATAGCACTTCAGAATGTAAAACCTCAATTTTCTTCCTGCATTAGGTACATGAGAAAAGGGATCACTGATGATATGATTTGGCTGTGTCCTCACCCAAATTTCATCTTGAACTGTAATTCCCATAATCCCCACATGTCATGGGAGGGTCCTGGTGGGAGTAATTGAATCATGGGGGTGGTTACCCCCATGCTGTTCTCATGATAGTGAGTTCTCATGAGATCTGATGGTTTTATAAGGGGCTTTTCTCACTTTGCTTGGCACTTCTCCTTCTTGTTGCCATGTGAAGGATGTGTTTGCTTCCCCTTCTGCCATGATTGTAAGTTTCCTGAGGCCTCCCCAGCCTTGCTAAACTGTGAGTCAATTAAACCTCTTTCCTTTATAAATTACCGAGTCTCAGGTAGGTCTCTATTAGCAGCATGAGACAGAACTAATACAATTGGTAACAAGAAGCAAAATGACTAGAAAACTTTGAGTCAGCCATTTCCTTAAGTAAGATTTATAAGATAGTACCAGCTGAAGTAGGGACTAGAAGAGATTAGTCAAATCAAGCAGCTACTAATTAATTCAAGGGCCAAATATCCTTATTATTCTGATTTACCAACCATCCAGATAAGGTATATTCAAAGAACTTCATAAATTGTGACAGTTGTTAACAATCGGATTGGACACTTGGGAATGCCCAAGGTAAGGATGGAGCCTCCAGCTTGAGAAAGAATGGTGATATACCTCTTAGTATAGAATTATTTTTATGGATTTTCACTTACTGAAAGAGCACATGGCCTTAGGCAATGCACTTTGATACATGTGGTAAAAATAACTATTGTAATTTTTTTTTTAAATTTCTTGGATTAGGTGGTTCTTCCTCTGAAAAGAGATGAGAAATTTTAAAAGATAGTGGTTTGTATTCAAAATGGGTTAGCATTTATAAAAATGAGATTTGCCTTTCTTCTAACATTATTATATTAGTAGCATGGTCATCTAGGTGCCTTGGAATAGTGGTAAACTCTACAGATATAAATATACATATAAATAAATAAATATTTATATAAATATATATATAAATATATACTAAGGATTATCATAAATATTTTCTTAAAATCTGAGTATTTTCAATCAGTTTTTGCATTTACCTAATAGTCTCTGAAAGATCTCTAAGCTTTAATAGTTCACTTACTTTGGCTGAGTGAACTTCTGAAATGCACTTCAAACTTTTGAAAACACCAATATGATCCTGTCCCTCACACCAACTACCTATGCTTAAAAAACATAACTGACTCTCCATTATTAAAACAGAAATTCTTAACTTTATGGTGAGGTTGCAGATTTACTCACACAACATTCAGATATGTTAAAAAAAAAAACTAATAAAATAAAAATATAAAAAACTCCTTTATTTTCTATTTACTGTTCTGGTCTTCAAATACCTCATCAGTAAAAGACCTCATTTACTTAAAAGACCTCATCTTCAGAAGTATCAGAGGAAAAAGAATCTGGTAAGTCAAAAGATGGAGAAATTTTGATGCATGCTCATTTAAACAGTCTCTAAGTAACTTAGGCTGTTTAAATGAGCCAGGAAAATCCCAAATCAGAGTTTTTACCCTCTCTTAACCTTCCTCCTAGATGACAATGAAGTTTATGAGAAAAGTAAAGATAACACAAGATCTCATGCTGCTGGAGGATGCAGAAATAAGACTGTTTGAAACCCCTCAGAGTTCTGTGGGTCCTGGCTGACCTGTGCATGAAGTGGTTGTTACAGGACTCTCCCAGTAGTTATCATAAAGTGCTACTGTTCCCATCATCCTTCTTTTCTGCTAGCCTTGACCATATCAAATCCCCAAGTACCATGCCCTCTTTGCTACATAATAGACTCTCCAGGTCTCCCAGTTCACCTTGTACCCTCAATATCAAGATAGCAGGCTGAGCATTGTGGCTCATGCCTGTAATCCCAGCACTTTGGGAGGCCAAGGAGGGTGGATGACCTTAGGTCAGGAGTTCAAGACCAACCTGAGCAACATGGTGAAACCCTGTCTCTACTAAAAAATACAAAAATTACCAGGCATGGTGGTGGGCACCCATAGTCCCAGCTACTTGGGAGGCTGAGGCAAGAGAATTGTTTGAACCTAGGAAGCAGAGGTTGCTATGAGCTGAGATTGCACCACTGAACTCCAGCCTGGGTGACAGAATCAGACTCTGTCTCAAATAATAATAATAAAAATGATAATCAAAATAACATAAGGATGCTTCTGTATCTCTTTTATGTCACATCCCCTGCTCCAAGTAAACAGGTGCCTTATGGTGGCATCTACACATTGTGTATATGAAAAGGCAAAGAGAAAAAGATGCATTAATATTTTTCAGATTGGAAAATATTCTGGCTGCTAGTCTACTCCTCTGGTCTCATCTGGCAGCATGTAATTCTAGCCACATAGGTGTTTTATCAGTCTTTCAAACTTCCACTTCCTGCCATCATGGAGTAACAGGGACTTAATTTACCCTTCCATGTGAAACAACCACAAAAGTGAACAAGACATAAAACAATGGTTTGTAGACACTGGTAGCACAGGATTGCAATTCCTGTGACAAGGAAAGCAACCAAGGTGAGCCCTGTAGTTGGATCAGTTCACTGCCTGAAGAGTTTCCAGGCTGCAGTACAGGGAGGGTGCAATGGTTTGAATGTGTCCTCTCCAAAATGTAGGTATTAAAACTTACTGGCCAATGTGAAAGTATTAAAAGGTGGAGCTTTTAACATGCAATTAGACCATAAGAGCTCCTCCCCTGTGAGTGGGATTATGGCCCTTATAAAAGATGCTTCACACTTGCCCCTCCACCTTCTACCATGCATGTAAGAAGACAGTTTTCCTCCCCTCAGAGAATGCCCTTCCACCTTCTACTTCTACCATGCATGTGAGAAGACAGTTTTCCTCCCCTCAGAGAATGCAGCAATCAAGCACTATCTTGGAAGCTGAGAGCAACCCTTACCAGACAATAAACTTGCTAGTGCCTCGATCTTGGATTTTTCAGCTTCCGGAACTGTGAGAAAATTAATTTTTTTCTTTATAAATTACCCAGTCTCTTGTATTTTGTTATAGCAGGACAAAATAAAAAAAGATGAAGAACCTAGAAGTCCATTGACTTCCCTGAGTTGAGGAGATGGAGCTGAGAGTTCAAGGAGGCCAAGGAAGCAAGAGTTCACAAGGCTGTCAAAGCTGTCAGAATCAAAATGGAGTTACTTGTGTCATGCGCTGACAAAATGGACCTGAGAAAGGCCATGAAGGGAGGGCTCTCATGCATGTTTGTCTGATAACAACAACTAGAAAAACAGACTGCAAAAACCACAACCTTGCACAAAGGTCACCACAACCTTGTCCAGTAAATGCTTCTGCAAGGGCGTCTGCCCAGCAACTTTCTGTTTAACCTTGGACTGATTTGCCCTTTTTATTGATCTTTGTAGCCAAGGATGATTGATTTAAAAACAAACAAACAAATAAAAAAACCTAGGTAATCCTCCTCATTTGCCTTTAAAAACTCCGCATTGCCTCAACCTCTTTGAATATGCACAAATTTACATAGTGTGCATGCGCTGACAAAATGGACCTGAGGAAGGCCATGAAGGGAGGGCTCTCATGCATGTTTGTCTGATCCCCCTTGGGTATTCAGGCAAATATTGATCAGGATATGCATGTGAGTAAATTATCCAAGGCTGGAAAAAGAAACACCCAAAGGATCAGGGGAAATAACCCCTAGGGCTCACCCAGAGCTGAGAATAGCTTGTGTGCCCACCGGTGAGACTGGAAACCCTCTTAATTCAAGGGGCATTGGATAGAATACAAAAAACATTACTACCTTACTAAAAGGTCAAAATTGGCTACTGAAGGCTACTCTGGTCCCACTTAACAAATCTTAAGAACAAAAAACAGAAGCAAACTGTTTCTATGCAATTTAACAGCATCCTAGGGCAAAATTCAAGAATATGCATAGAAATACAAAAATATGCAACTCCCAAAAAGGTAAAATTCACATTTTCTAGCATATAATTAAAACTTACCATCGTTACAAAGAAGCAGGAATATATAGCCCATAATAAAGAGGAAAATCAATCAATAAAAATAGACTTAGAAACAATACAGATTTAGTAGACAAGAACATCAAATCAGTTAGTATAACTACATGCCATATATTCAAGAAGATTTACGCATGCAAAGACATGGGAGATAATGGAAAAGGACTCAAATCAAACTTCGAGAGCTGAAAAATGCAATGTCTGCATATCATCTGAACACAAGTCCTTAACACATACTGTTGTCTCTGCCTGGACACTTCATTTGCTAAATTCTTACAGTGTCTGCCCTCCCACTTCATTTGCTAAAAGTAAACCTTCAGATTTCATCTCTATCATCACTCTCTCAAGGAAAGTTTGTCTGGTCTGCAAGTTATATATCACATCCCTTGGCTAAATGATGATGTGGCTCCAAATACCACATACTGTCCTTATCACAAATATAATTTTACATTATTAGTGTAATCTCTGTCTCCATCACTATTCAAGCACCATGGTGACACAACTCATGTTCAGTTTTCTTCACTATTGTCTAGTGCTTAGCATAGTGCTTGTAAATCCAAAATTGCAGAGTTTTAAATTTGTCAGCTCAACTCTATGAGTCTTGATGTTTCAAACTACGAACATCTGTATATATTAAAAAAAAATGTAGTCAGCCTTTTGGATGCAGAGAACTAACAGGTCTCCCCTCTCAATAGCTCCTTGAGTTAAGAAAACACAAAGTTTTTGCATTTCCTTAGCTGCCGCACCCAAGAGATACATAGAATTATACCTTTGGTTCGAAAGCAGATAGCCCTGATCTTTAATCCTATTTCATCCTATATTTAAATTCTA